GGGCGGGCGAGGGCCTTACCTGGTGGTGGTGCGGGCCGGCGGCGGAGAAGCGAGGGGCTGCACTCGCGAGCTGGACGCGGACTCGGCGGTGGCAGCGCGTCGCGCCGCCGGGTTTTATAGGGCGCCGCGGCCGCCGCTCGAGCCATAAAAGGCAACTTTCGGAACGGCGAGCGCTGATTGGCCGCGCGCCGCTCACTCACCGGCCTCGCCGCACTGTGCAGCATTTTTCTACCCCCTCTCCCCTCCTTTTGCCAAAAAAAAAAAAAAAAAAAGAACGAAAGAGGAAAGAGGGAGAGAGCGAGATTGAGGAAGAGGATGGAGAGTCCTGGCGTTGGCCGCCCCTGGGTGCTGGGGTGCGCCTCCGGCCCCCGCCCCGCTGGACAGTACCGGCTCTGCGCCCCGTCTCCCGGCCGGCCCGGCCTGCCTGCCTCGTGTCCCCCACCCAGCCGGGGCCCGCGGCCGTGCATGTCACAGGAGTGTGTGCGGGTGGGCGAGGGTCCGCAGGGACGCTGGGAACCCAGGCTGCCGAGGCTCTGGCCTGCGGTCCCCGGGGCACAGGGAGGTCAGAGTCACTCCCCCTCGCCAGCAGGAGTCACTGGTCCTGCAGCCCGGGCTGGGGGCCTGTTTGCAAAGTGTGTGGTAGGGGTGCTGCTTGGACCTGATGCTGTGGAGGGTTAGAGGAGCCACGGGGCTTCAGCCGCTCAGGGGACTCAGGGCTATGTTCTCAGGACACAGCGGTGGCTAGAGGTTGCCCCTGAGGAAGACGCCACACCTCCCCTGCAGGAGGCCTGGGAAGGCATTGTGATCTGCGAGCAAGGGACCATGGCCGGCAGCCAGGCCGTTTCTGAGGGCTGCCTGGTCACACCCACCAACGCCAGGCTTGGGCCGTTAGCTGGTAAGCCAGGCTCCGCCGGGCTGGGGCGGTGCGGCCCAGCGCTTGTCCCAGGACCCACAACCCCTCGTGTGCCTGCTGTGCAGCCGCAGCTGAACTGTCCTCTTGGACCGTCCAGGGCTGCGGGGACTCTGGAGGGGAACCTGCGCCGGCCGGGAACTCCCAGCAGCCGCGGGGACCCTCTCCTGTCACCCTGGGTCCATCCACCGAACATCAGGCAAGAACTGAGCGCCCAGGAGTGTTCTGTTCTGGAACGTGCCTGTCTGCCCAACAGGGAAAGCAGAGCCCACTCAGTGACCGGGCCGCAGAACCCCGAGGAGTGTTAGGCGCAGCCTAGAGGGACTGGGAGCGGGTGACAGGAATCTGCAAGACAAACAGGCTGGTGGCCCAGGTGGGGCGCCCAGGGCCTGCTCAAGGCTCTTCGCACATAGTAGGTGCTCACTGAGCGAGCATGCACATCTTGGAAGCAGTAGGGATTAGTCCATATATGGATGCAGAATCCGGGGCCGGGGAGGAGGAGGCCGGTGGCCAGGCCAGCACCCTGTGGAGGCCACTCTGTAGCATTCCCTCCTGCCACCGCCCTGGGGTGGGGGAACTTTCCCACCCGACCACTCCCTGCCTCCGGGGGATGGGACTGCCCTGTCCCTGGCCTTGTATCTCTCAGTTGAAGGCATCTTGCCAGCTGCTGCGCCTCCTGCCAGCCCTGCAGTTTGCTGGCAGAGGGGGCGGGGGCGGGTGGCCTTCTTGGCTCTCCTTGGCTAGGGCAGCCCCAGGCTGTTCACAGATACCAGTGAGGTCCCCGGGAAGGATGCCACCCACTGGAGTTGCAGGACAAGGCGGGAGGCTCTCTCCACGGCTCCTGCATGGGGCAGAAACAGACCTGATATCCAAGCAGGACCTGCATGGCCACTTCTGTGTTCAACTGGGGGCCAGCCAAGGGGCAGGTGTTCCCATGCCCTCCCGACCTCAAGCTGGAGCAATCCTGACCCAACCTACTGCCCGGTGGTACCCTGTCTTTACAGCGGCTATTTCCCAGTACACTCTTATGCATCCCTCAAGGCCCATCTCAGAAGGCCCCTTCTTGGAGGAGCCCTTTGGCATCCAAATTGTACACGATTCTCCTCACTTCAGATCACACCAAGGCACTGGGCTGGAATGTACGTATAACTTAGTTTCCCCCACCAGACCATGAGCTTTTAAGGGTCTCCACCGCCTCTACTTCCTCCTACCACGCCTGAGCCATCTCTGCCCTGTTGGGGGAATAAGTGACTGTGGGTGTCCTTAGTCCTCAGAGAGGACCCTGAGAAGATGGTGGGTTGGGTGGGGGTGAGAGGAGCTGACCAGAAAAAGCCAGGGGGGCGGGGGGACCTGGAAAAGAGGAAGTGGAGGAAGGGGAGGCCAGCAGGGCTCGGGAGAGAGGAAGGAGCCTTTCTTTGCTTGGGAACTTTACCCCCGGGGACGCTTTGGGCGCTGTCACTCAGCAGGCACATCGGCCACCAGCCCAGCCAATAGGACGCCAGCTGCCCTTCCAGTACTTTTTGCTCAAAGCTTCTGCTGCTGGGGTTCCCCCCCCCCCACCGCCCCCGCCTGCCCTGGGGCTTCCGGGCTAGACCGGAAACCTCCCCTGCAGCCCTGTGGTGCTCACGAAGCCCCTTCTCGGAACGGTGGATGAATGCACATGCGCAGCCATGGGCCAGGGCCGAGCTGAGGAAACTGAGGCAGGGGTATAAGGTGCCCAGAGCAGAAGTCCAGCATGGAGGACTGAGATTCAGGGCCCCTGGGGCGGCGGCCTGGCCTTTAGCCAACCTCATACTGGCCCTCCCTGGGTGAAGTGTCACTTGGAATGTCCCCGGGGACTGAGTCCAAAGGCTGCCGGAGTCTGGATTCCTAGCCCCACCTCAGTCCTTAACAGGTAAAGTATTTCTTGAGACCCTGAGAGGACGCTGTCAGCTGTAGTTCACACAGCAGAGTCCTGGGGACCTTCTTCCTGGTTCTTGGGGTGATCCTGGGCCCCTCTGAGCTTGTGAACCTCAGGATTGTTGGGGGCCTGTGTGTGGGGTCCTCTGTCTCCTGATAACTTCTCAGCGTCCACGCTGCCTCCTCCAGGAACCCGCCATGGCTTTGTCCCTCCTCTCACACAGCAGCGGAGCTTTCCTGCCCAGAGAGGGCAAGTGACCCAGCCAGGCTAACGGGCTCTGGCTGGAGCTGAAGAACCCCAAAGGCCTTTCCTCAGGGGAGCCCCTGGATCACACAGCACCTGCAATGAAACCCCTCTCCCTCCATGCTCACTAGCTCAGCCTCACTTTGAGCAATGGGAATAAAACAGGCACGATCATTAAGACAGACCTCAAGACGGCAAGAGAACAAATTTGCCGGTGGCAGGAAAGGAAGAATTCCGCGGGAAGCTTGAGGTCGTGAGTTCAATTCCCAGTACCAGGGCTGGGGATTTAGCTCAGCGGCAAAGCGCCTGCCTGGCAAGTACAAGGTCGTGAGTTCGGTTCCCGGTACCGGAGAAAAACCAAAACAAACAAACAAACAAAAAAAATCAATTCCCAGTACCAATAAAAAGAATTCCGCCAGGTGTGGTGCGCACTTGTAATCCTAGCACTCAGGAGGCTGAGGTAGGAGGATCACCGTGAATTCAAGGCCAGCCTGGACTACCTAAGCAAGTTTAAGGCCAGCCTGAACTATGTAATGAGACCCTGTGAGTCCCAGGTCTTGGGATGTAGCTCAGTGGTGCAGAGCCTGCCTGGCAAACGTGAGGCTGAGTTCAATTCCCAATACCAAGCAAACAAAGAAACAAACATGAGTTCAAGGCCAGCCCAAACTGCATATTGAGACCCTGTCTTATAAAAGAAATAAAACTTTTCTTTAGGAGGAAGCCCTTCTTTTTTCTTTGTGTGATACTGGGGATTGAACACAGGGTCTTTGCACTGAGCTATTTCCCTAGCCCTTGTTATTTTTAATTTTAGACAGTATCTTGCTAAGTCATTAAATTGTCCAGGTCAGAGGGCTGGGGCTGTAGCTCAGAGGTAGAGTACTTGCCTAACATGGACAAGGCCCTGAGTTCAATGCCCAGTAACACAAAAAAAGAAAAAAAAAATTGCCCAGGTTAGGCCCCTTCTTTTGATCCTCCTGCCTCAGCCTCCTAGAGTGCTGGGATTATACAGTCAGGCCACACGGTCTCGTTTAGTCTGGAGGGCTCCTCTAAGAGGCAGTCCAAGGCTGGGGATATAGCGCAGTGGCACAAGCCCCTGCCTAGCAAGTAGAAGGTCTTGAGTTCCATTCCCGGTACTGAAAAGGAAAAAAAAATTCCCAGTACCGGGGGGGAAAAAAAAAGCAACGGGCCGGGGATATAGCTCAGTGGTATAAGCGCCTGCCTGGCAAGTGCAAGGTCCTGAGTTTGATTCCTGGTTAAAAAAAAAACAAAAACAAACAAACAAAAAACAA